CAACAGAAGAACTTCAAATGGCCAAAAGACACTTAAGGTCATGCTCAACTTCCTTAGCGATCAGGGAAATGCAAATCAAGACAACTTTAAGATACCACCTTACACCTGTCAGAATGGCGAAAATAAAAAACACCAATGATAGCCTTTGCTGGAGAGGTTGTGGAGAAAGGGGTACACTCACCCATTGCTGGTGGGAATGCAAACTTGTGCAACCACTCTGGAAAGCAGTGTTTCGGTTTCTCAGGAAATTCGGGATCAACCTACCCCTGGATCCAGCAATACCACTCTTGGGAATATACCCAAGAGAGGCCCTATCATACAACAAAAGTATATGCTCAACTATGTTCATGGCAGCATTGTTTGTAATAGCCAGAACCTGGAAACAACCTAGATGCCCTTCAACGGAAGAATGGATGAAGAAAGTATGGAATATATACATATTAGAGTATTACTCAGCAGTAAAAAACAAGGACTTCTTGAATTTTGCATACAAATGGATGGAAATAGAAAACACTATCCTGAGTGAGGTAAGCCAGACCCAAAAAGAGGAACATGGGATGTACTCACTCATATTTGGTTTCTAGCCATAAATAAAGGACATTGAGCTTATAATTCATGTTCCTAGAGAAGCTAAATAAGAAGGTGAATCCAAAAACAAACACATAGGCATCCTCAGGAATATTAACCTTCATCAGGCGATGAAAGGAGACAGAGACAGAGACCCACACGGGAGCACCGGACAGAAATCTCAAGGTCCAAATCAGGAGCAGAAGGAGACGGAGCACGAGCAAGGAACTCAGGACCACGAGGGGTGCACCCACACACTAAGACAATGGGGATGTTCTATTGGGATCTCACCAAGGCCAGCTGGCCTAGGTCTGAAAAAACATGGGATAAATCCGGACTAGCTGAACATAGCGGACAATGAGGAATACTGAGAATTCAAGAACAATTGCAGTGGGTTTCTGATCCTACTGCACGTACTGGCTTTGTGGGAGCCTAGGCAGTTTGGATGCTCACCTTACGAGACCTGGATAGAGGTGGGCAGTCCTTGGGCTTCCCACAGGTCAGGGAACCCTGATTGCTCTTCGAGCAGATGAGGGAGGGGGAATTGATCGGGGGAGGGGGAGGGAAATGGGAAGCGGTTGTGGGGACGAGGCAGAAATCCTTAATAAATAAATAAATTAAAAAAAAATAAAAAAAAAAAGACACAGACTAAGAGAATGGATACAAAAACAGAATCCATCCTTATGCTGCATACAAGAAACACACCTCAGTCTCAAAGACAGACAGCCTCAGAGTAAAGCATTGGGGGAAAAAAATCCAATCAAATGAACCTAAGAAACAAGCTGGTGTAGCTATCCTAATATCTAACAAAATAGACATTAAACTAAAATCAATCAAAAGAGACAAAAAAGAGACAAAGAAGGACCTTTCATATTAGTCACAGGAAAAATCCATCAAGAGTAAACCTCAATACTGAACATCTATGCCCGAAATGCAAGGGCACCCTCATATGTAAAAGAAACACTTCTAAAGTTTAAATCATACATTAAACCCAACACTAATAGTGGAAGACTTCAACACCCCACTTTCACCACAGCACAGGTCAGTCAAACAGAAAATTAACAAAGAAATAAGGGAACTAAGAGATGTTATGACTTAAATGGACTTAACAGATCTATAGAACATTCCATCCAAACACAAAAGAATACACCTTCTCCTTAGCACTTAATGAAACCTTCTCAAAAATTGACCACATACTAGGTAACAAAGCAAACCCCAACAGATACAAAAAAAAATGGAATTACCCCATGTATCTTACTGGACCATCATGGCTTAAAATTAGAATTCAACAGCAACACTAATTCCAGAAAGCCCACAAACACTTGGAAATTAAACAATGCTCACCTGCGTCATCAGTGGGTCAAGGAAGAAATAAAGGAAGAAATTTAAGACTTCCTAAAATTCAATGAAAATGACCACACAACATACCCAAATTTATGGGACACAATGAAAGCAGTGTTAAGAGGAAAGTTCATAGCACTAAGTGTCTACAAAAAGAAGCTGAAAAAAATCTCACACTAGTGAGTTAACAGGACATTTGAAAACTCTAGAACAAAAAGAAGAAACTCACTCAGTAGGACTACATTTCAGGAAATAATCAAATTGAGAGCTGAAATCAGCAAAACAGAAACAAAGAAAACAATACAAATACTCAATGAGACAAAGAATTGGTTCTTTGAAAAAAATCAACAAAATAGACAAACCTTTATTCAAACTAACCAAAAGGCAGATAGAGAATATCCAAATTAACAAAATCAGAACTGAAAAGGGGGACATAACAACAAACATTGAGGAAATCCAGAGAATCATTAGGTTATATTTTGAAAACCTGTACTCTACAAAATTAGAAAACTTAAAGGAAATGGACAACTTTCTGGATAAATATCACTTACCAAAATTAAATCAAGACCAGACAAGCAAATTAAAAAGACCTATAACTGCTAAAGAAATAGAAACAGTCATCAAAAGTCTCCCAACCAAAAACTCCCAGGGTAGGATCGTTTCAGCACAAAATTCTACAAGATTTTCAAAGAAGAACTAATACCAATATTCCACAAATTGTTATGCACAATAGAAACAGTAGGAATATTGCCAAACTCTTCTTATGAGGCTACAATTACCCTGATACCTAACCCACATAAAGATATTACTAAGAAAGAAAATAACAGACCAGTTTCACTCAGGAATATTGATGCAAAAATACTCCATAAAACAATAGCAAACAAAATATAAGAACACATCAGAACCATCATCTACCATAATCAAGTTGGCTTCATCCCAGAGATGTAGGGATGTTTCAACACACAAAAATCTGTCAATGTATTCTATCATATAAATAAACTGAAAGAAAAAACATATGATCATCTCATTAAATGCTGAAAAAACCTTCAACAAAATACACCATCCCTTCATGACAAAGGTTTTGGAGAGATCAGGGATACAGGAAACATACCTAAACATAATAAAGGCAATATACAGCAAGTCAACATCAAACTAAATGGAGAGAAACTCAAAGCAATTCCACTGAAGTCAGGAACAAGATAAGGCTGCCCACTCTTTCTGTATCTCTTTAAAATAATTCTTGATGTTTTGGCAATAACAGTAAGATAACAAAAAAATCAAGGGGATTCATATTGGAAAGGAAAAAGTCAAACTTTCGTTATTTGCAGATGATATGATAGTTTACATAAGCAACCCCAAAAATTCTACCAAGGAACTTCTACAACTCATAAACACCTTCAGTAATGTAGCAGGATACAAGATTAACACACCCCCAAAAAATCAGTAGCCCTCCTTTACACAGATGATAAATGGACTGAGAAAGAATATCACCCTTCACAATAGCCACAAATAGCATAAAATATCTTGGAGTAACTCTGACCATTTAAGTGAAGATCTGTATGACAAGAACTTTAAATCTTTGAAGAAAGAAATTGAAGAAGACACCAGAAAATGGAAAGATCCCCCATGCTCGTAGGTAGGCAGAATTATCATAGTAAAAATGACAATCTTACCAAAAGCAATCTACAGATTCAATACAATGCCCAGCAAAATTCTTCACAGACCTCGAAAGAACAATACTCAATTTCATATGGAAAAGCAAAAAACCCAGAATAGACAAAACAATCCTGTACTATAATGAACTTCTGGATGCATCACAATCCCTGGCTTCAAACTCTACTTCACAGTTACAGTACTGAAAACAGCCCAGTTATTATCATTAAAAACAGGCATAAGGACCAATGGAGCCCAATTGAAGACCCAGATATTAATCCACACTGCTTCAAACACCTGATTTTTGACAAAGAAGCAAAAAATATCAAATGAAAAAAAGAAAGCATATTTAAGAAATGGTGCTGGCATAACTGGATATTAACATGTAGAAGAATGAAAATAGATTCATATCTGTTGCCATGCACAAAACTCAAACAAATAGATCAAAGACCTCAACATAAAACCAACCACACTGAACCTCATAGAAGAGAAAGTGGGATGTACGCTTGAACGCACTGGCACAGGAAACCACTACCTAAATATAACCCCAGCAGCACAGACACTGAGAGAAACAATTAATAAATGGGACCTCCTGAAACTGAAAAGCTTCTGTAAAGCAAAGGACATGGTCAACAAGACAAAACAACAGCCTACAGGATGGGAAAAGATATTCACCAACCCCATGTCAGACAGAGAGTTGAGTCCAAAATATACAAAGAAATCAAGAAATTGATCATTAAAAGAACAAATAATACAAGAAAAAAACGGGGTACAGACCTAAACAGAGAACTCTCAACAGACGAATCTAAAATGGCTGAAAGACTCTTAAGGAAATGCTCAACATCCTTAGCCATCAGAGAAATGCAAATCAAAACAACTCTGAGATTCCATCTTATACCTTTAGAATGGACAAGATCAAAAACACTGATGACAGCTTATGCTGGAGAGGATGTGGGGTAAAGGGAACACTCCTGCATTGTTGGTGGGAGGGCAAACTGTTACAGACCCTTTGGATATCAGTATGGGAATTTCTCAGAAAATTAGGAAACAACCTTCCTCAAGACCCAGCAATACCACTTTTAAGTATATACACAAAGAATGCTCAATTGTACCACAAGGGCATGTGCTCAGCTATGTTCATAGCAGCATTGTTTGTCATAACCAGAACCTGGAAACAACCTGAATGACCCTTGACCATTGAATGGATAGGTAAAATAAGGTACATTTACACAATGGAGTACTATACAGCAGAAAAAAATAATGACACCTTGAAATTTGTAGGCGAATGGATGGATGTAGAAACCATCATATCGAGTGAGGTAACCGTGACAAGAGTATCAACAGGGCTTCATAGCTCTTCAGCCTAGACCAAAACAGTCTCCACAAAATCAAGATAGTAGCGAGACAAGCAATAGAGTGAACTCCAGCAGAGGCCATGTCTACCGGTTGAGAAACACTCGGACATAAAAGGTCCTGTGGGGTCTGTCGGTCACCAGCATGACCTCAGGCAGGGGTTGAATTCTGCCTGTGTCTGTGTCTCTCCATATATAATGACCACAAGCGTGCCCAGCAGTGGTGATGGATGGGCGGGGCAATGCCCACACAGTGACTAGGCTGGACCTGAGTGCACTCGGTGTGGAAGCTGAAGTCACAGCTGCCACAGAGGAGGTGAAGCGACCAGAAGACCTGATCATGGTGAGAACGTGGGGACCTATGTGAGAAGATGGGGGATGCTGAGCGAGAAGGGAGAAGAGGGCAATGACGAAGGGGGATTAAAAAAACTGGTGTGAGGAGAGGTGAGGGATGTGTCTTAGAGAGGGAGGAGGCTGCTCAGGGAGAGCAGCTAAGGCTTGTGGATGGTTATGGGGAAGAGGAAAGAGGAAGCTGGCAGAGCTCTCGGGAGGGGACAGAACACACGAGAGAGAATCTGTGCGAACGATCAGAAGTATAGAATCTCTAGTGACATCTATTGTATAAAAAAGCCAGGGCCACAGGGCTGACCTGGGATGTGCTTACCACGGGTGATGGTGAGGTGGGTCCCTTTATTCGAATGAAACTTCTGTAAGCCTTTACTTGTGTTCAGACGAACTTGGCAGAAGTACACTGTCTGGTCCTTCTCCTTCAAGTCCAGAATTGTGAGGACTCCGGATGTCTGAGGCTGTGTCCAGTTCAGGATGAGCCGGTCCTTAAAATGCTCATGTATAAAACCCGAGGAAGAGTTGTAGATCAATTCCCCATAGGACTGCTTCCATCTCCAGAGAATCCTCATTGGTGGAATTTGTTCCAATTCCCCAGGGAAGTAGAAGGAGAAGGGGATCTCGATGGAGCCGCCCTGGACACCAGAGAGGCGTTCTGGTTGCTCCACCCTATAGCCATTTACTCTGTTGGATCCTGCTGAGTTCCCTGGGAAGGATGGAGGAGAATCTGAAGCCATGGAAGGGGATAGAAAGGACAAACGAGAGTTTCCTGAGTCTTTACCCACAGGCAGGTGTAGGACATGGAGCACGACTGTCTCTATGTCCCAGTGCCCCATATGGGACAGGACAGACAACAAAGGGTTGGACTGGACCCACTCTGAGGGATGAGCTCTCTCTTGGGGTACAGGGGTCAGGCTGGATCCTGTAGCAGTCGCGTGTCCACATGACAGCCCACTCTTCCCAGCCCCACTGGTCTTTCCTATGTTTAAGGCAATGGCTGCTAGGAAGGTCCCCACCACTCACCACCACTCACCAGCTTGCACGCACACCACTGACAGCAGCAGAAGCAGGACCCACGCTATGACCCGATTCCCTCCATGAAATGAGACCAGCAGAGCCATCAGGCAGGAGAGGAGGCCCTGTGGAGGAAGCCTGGGGCACTCAGGAGTCAGGAAAGAATCAGGGTAAAGTGACCCACATTCCCCAGGCCTTCTCATGTGGAGGACAGTGAGGGCAGGACCTCTGCCTCTCCACCTCCTTGTGGCCAGCAACTTCCTTTATCATTCTGGCTTCTTCTTTCCCATGTTGCAGAAGATCCACCCTTGTGAGACAATGGCCATACCCTTGAGCCCAACCCTGATTTTGGCAGGAAGATATGGAACTGACCTCACCAGGCCAGCTCTCCTCTCTTACACCTAGGCCTCCTGTCCTCAGTCTTGCCCATTTCCTATGTGGTCTCTACCTGCTTTGTTTTCTCATCTCCATAATTTCCTCCACTCCTGCCCCTCCCCCGATCTATGTTTCATTGCCCTTCACCTTCTGGTTGTTTGTGTCTCTCTAGTAACCTCAGGTAGAGAAGTGGTCAGGTTCTGCTCACTTCAGACACAATGAGGAAGGAAGTGATGTGGACGCACATTCAGATCCCAGACCTAGTAGAGTTCACCATCACCCTGTGTCTGCTCTTTGTCCTGCTGTTGCCTTTCAGGAACTCTTCACAGCGCCCCAGCAAACCCAAAACCCAGTGGCTACTCTGGCCCCAGCTACACACTGCTGCTGAGTCTGTGACATCCCTGGGCTTCCTGGGTGATCCCCTTCTTCTCTACAGTGACTCCTTTTTTTTATTGAATTTTTATTATCCTCTACATTTTCCTCTGCTCCCCTCCCTGCCTTTCGTCTCTCATATATACCACCCCAAGGTCCCCATGTTCCAAATTTACTCAGAAGATCTTGTCCTTTTCTACTTCCCATGTAGATTAGATCTATGTAAGTCTCACTTAGTGTCCTCTTTGTTGCCTAAATTCTCCGGGATTGTGGTTTGTAGGCTGGCTTTCTTTGCTTTGTATTTAAAAAACACCTATGAATGAGAATATGTGATAATTGTCTTTCTGTGTCTCTGTTACCTCACTCAAAATAAGGATTTCTAGCTCCATCTATTTTTCTGCAAAATTCAAGATGTCATTATTTTTTTTCTGCTGGGTAGTACTCCATTGTGTAAATGTACCACATTTTCCTTATCCATTCTTCGGGCGAGGGGCATTTAGGTTATTTCCAGGTTCTGGCTATGACAAACAAAGCTGCTATGAACAAAGAATTAGAAGCCCTGGCACATGTCACATGACTGGTACACAGCAAGTGACTGGACTTCAGTCCCATCGAGTTCTTTTTTTTTTTTTTTTTTTTTTTTTTTTTAATTTTTCGAGACAGGGTTTCTCTGTAGCTTTTGGTTCCTGTCCTTGTATTCCTCCACTCCACACTGACTTGTGGCTGCCTGTTCGGTGCAGTCTCTGACCTCCACTCAAGGCCGATAGATCTTCTTCTGAGCTCCTGGGAGGCCATTCCCACAGAGCACTTGAGAGATTCCCTCTGGCTGTGACAGTACCAGAACATTCTTTGGATGAAGTGGGCAAAGAAGGTTCAGAGCAGCAATGTGTCACTCATGACATAATGCCTGGGACAACTCTAAGCGTGGACACAGCTGACCTGTGTTAGAAATAGAGGAGCAAGCAAAATTCAAGAGGTCCTTGTTTTTTACTGTACGTACTGGCTTTGGGGGAGCCTAGGCAGTTTGGATGCTCACCTTATGAGACCTGGATAGAGGTGGGCGGTCCTTGGGCTTCCCACAGGTCAGGGAACCCTGATTGCTTTTTGAGCAGATGTGGGAGGGGGACTTGATCGGGGGAGGGGGAGGGAAATGGGAAGCGGTTGCGGGGAGGAGGCAGAAATCCTTAATAAATAAATAAATTAAAAAAATAAAATAAAATGAAAAGTAAAAAAAAAATAGAGGAGTAAGAGATGGGGGCAGAGGCTGTGTTGGCCATGGGTAGCTGCTCTAGGAGGGTCATCCCACCCTTCTCCATGACAGGATACCATCAGTTCCCTGAAGGGCTGGAAGACATGATTGTACCAGGGGAAGTGGCATCATTCTCCCTGAGTGATATGTGCAGAGGTGACTTCCCATTCCCTTAGATTTCCTGGCACTGACTGCCTTCTCCATGCTCCCCTCAGGTGACTATGCAGCTGTCCTCTGTCATGTCTGCTTTCTCTGCCTTCCTTACAGTCCCCATTGTCCTCTGATCCTTTGACCTGGGCCAGAAACAAATTCCAGTGGCCTCACTCCCAGCTACACATGGACACAGATCTTTATCCATCCATCCTGTCCTTGGAGACCCCAAGCACAGAACTTTTGGGATGAGTTGGCCCCAAATTAAAGTTAGGAGAGGGGATGGAGCCTATTTAACCTGTCAGAAAGCCCCCAAACTCCTTTACTGGATGCAGTCCCATGTAGTTCAGGCTGGGCCTTGAACTTCTTATGTAGCCAAGGATGACATTGAACTCCTACAGATCCTCCTCTCTGCCCTCCCAAGTTCTGAGTGGCAGGTGTGACCCATCGTACCCCTTTGTCTCCTGCTGGAGATAGAACCCAGGGTTCCGTGCATGTCAAGCACGTAAGCACTCCACCAATGAACCCTCTCTTCAGTCTCAGTGAGGTCTGAGAGGGGGCCATCCTGGTCATGTGACTCACCTCCAGGGTTCATCGAGCCCTGCTCTATAGTCTAGAGTCTGTCACCAAGGAGAGGCTGGACCTCATGAGGCTGCCATATGTCAGCTGCTGGTGAACAGCTCTTTTGCAGAAAAGGCTCTGGTTGGTCCTTCAGGATCCCAGCCACCACTTGTACTCAGCCTCACTGCTGCCACATGCTGGCCTCTGAGTCCCAAGTCGTGGGCTCTGTTGTTTCAAGTCCTGGACTCAGCTAGATCCCCATAGGGGCCCTGCTGTGGGATGACTTCTGTCCAGGATGCTGTAATGAGTTTCCTGCAGTGACAACCGTGTTTTCCCCAAAAATAGTGACTTGGCCCTGCAGCCATGATGCTTTCACAGGGCATGGGCACTTTCTGTGGAAGAGCAGCCTGTGACTGCAGTGTGCACACTGGGGCTTTTGTGTGCTTGTGACCTTGGGACTGTCAGGTGAAGAGTTAGAACCTGGCTGTTGCTCAGGCTGTAGCATGGGTATACACAGCCTCCACAGAACAAAAAAGGAAGTGTAATTTAAATATTTAACACAAGGTGGGCTAGACATGGTTGTGCAAGCCTTTAATTCTAGCGTTTAGGAGGCAGAGGGGGAGGCAAGTGGATCTCTGTGTGTTGGAGGCTCCCTGGTCTATATATCCAATCTATATAGCCTGGTCTATATACCCAGGCCAGCAAAGACTATATGGTGAGACTTGGTCTCAATAAGAAAAAGCAAGACTACAAACAAAAACAAAACCAAACAACAAAAAAACTACAAAACAGAAAAGAGCAGAACGTGCATGATGTCTGAGGTTGTGCTCTGGACTGCACATACATGAGCACACAGTTATTTGTGCACATCTCTTCCTGCACAAAGACACACACAGTCATCCAAGGCAATTTCACAGGGGATGTGCCACCACGTGTTTAACCAGTCCTCCTCCTGAGAAAACATGGCCGCCCCATTTGTCTCTCCATTTTTTGTCACACTCCTAGCACTCCCTGAATTCTTCTTTGAGTGACAGCATACAGATTCTAGATGGACTCCAAAATAACCCACACAGACTGGGTCCTGAAGAGAGTTAGGAAGATGCTAGAGGGGATGGCAGAAGGATGGGGGCTGGTGATGTAAACAGGACACTCAGGCTGCACTAGGACATTACAGTAGCACAGATGCCCCATCCCTATCTGAACTGTTCTTTCTCTCCTAAGATGACATCATCATCTTCATCTCCCACATGTGCCCCAAACCTCAGCATGAGCACCTCCCTGCACCACAGTAGAGGGAAGCAACAAGAAGAGACTCTGTAGTGTGTCCTAAAGGCCCAGTGAATGAGGTTGCATGACCTATTCTTCTGGATTAAGTCTCCAGGTTTTGCTGTTGCCCAAGATTAGAGACAGAACCTCATGAATCATCAAGTCTGAGGTCACAGAAACTAAGAGTCTCCTAGTCCCCTCTACAACACCATATATTTCACTTTTAAAAAGTCAAAAAAAAACCAAAGAAAAAGCAGCAAACAAACTAATTACCGACAATATATACATAGTGGCACATGACTTTATCCCAGCACTCTGGAGGTCGAGGCAGGTGGATTTCTGTGAGGTAGAGACCAGATTGATTTACATAGAAAATTACAGAACAGTCAGAGCGACATAACAGAGAACCCTGCCATTTCAAAAACAAAGATACAGAGAAAAGCAAACCTACTATGGTTGTAAATTTTGTATAAGTGAATCTAGAGAGAAAACTAGTGACATCTTCAAGTTATCTGTCTCCAACCGAAGTGAACTAATAGATGACCTGCCTCCATCACCTTTCTGTACTATTTGTAGTTTTGCTTAGTTTTGGTTTGTTGACTTCAAGACAGGGTCTCCTGTACAACAGGCTGGCTTCGATTGCATGGGTACTAAAGACAGCCTGCAATTCATGATCTTTCTATCTCTACCTATCAATCATTGGCATTACAGGCATATGTTGCCATACCTAGTTCCCTTTAGTACATTTTGTTACTGACTGGCTCAGGTCAGGGAACACAAATCCCAAAGACTAGATCCCAACGTCTTCTTCACAGTTGGACCACAATGTTCCCTTCACCCAATGGGAATTTGATCTGGTCTGGGTTAAAGCACCTAAATGTTGTTGAGATTGTTGGTTCTGTGTTCTTTGCCTCTTAAAATTCTCCTTTGGAACAATGAAAACTGACCTGGCAAGTCACTTGAACGTTAAAGTAACAGCTCTGAGGTCCCTTCTCTCTGTCCAACTACTAGGAGAGTAGAGTTGATGAATGGACCCTCCTTTAGATGACTGGCCAGACCACCATAACTGCCGCCTGCTTGTGTGAACACCTCAAGGTGAAGAACCAGCCTGGCTCCATCTTAGGCTTAAAAGTCATCTTAGAGTAAAAACAAATTAGGTTCATTTATGCTTTGATTAAACCTCTATATCTCAAGGATTTGGTTTTGCCCCACCTCTACCCTTAACTATAAATGGTTCCATACTGCCTGTTCCAGGAATGACAATCATGTCTTTATTTTTTGTTTAAATTATTTATACCCATTTTGTGACTCTACCTTTGTTTCAGAAGCTTATGTGACCACCCACAATGACTTGTGATGCCCACCTACCAACCACGTCATGGTTTCAGGAGGACTATCTTGTTATGCTTATGTTATGCTCCTGTAACACAGACTGTTTCACCCACCAAAATCCTTCATTTGGAAACCCCTACCTGAGTTACAAAAGACCTGTCTTCCTTACATTCAAAGTGATGACCTCTTGAACCCTGCCTTAGGGAAAGCAGTTATTTTACACAAATAAAAAGCTTGCTTTAATCAATTGCTTGCGTTAATGAATTTGATCATGATAGTTTGCGTTGGCAGTCTACCTACTCCCTTCTTTGGGCTTAACCCAGGGATACCCGGAGGAGACACCACCCCAGCTGCCAAAGTTACTGGGACCATGGCTGCTGCTGAGTTCAGTCTCAGAGGCTTGGATCCAGTTACACCACAGCAGGCACCCCACAGCTGCTTCAGGAGACTTCACTTTAGCCATGAGAAGCCTTGGTGACTTCTCCATATCCCTCCATCTTCAGCAAGCATCATGGGGTTGGGGACAATTTTCCCAATGACTCAGCTAGTTCCATGACTGATATGCACTCAAGGCTTCTGATTGGTGGATCTCAATCAAACATGCCCATGAACATCATCTAGCTATAAAAGCAGCCTGATTTTGATTATTATTGGTCAGTCTGCTGTCCGTTAGTCCCAGCATGCTCTTTGGTAGAAGCTGACTGGATGACTATCAAATGTTAAGACAGACTGGTCTTGAAAAGGAAGTCTTGTCTGGGGGAGACCCCAGAGGTCAGAACATCCACATAGCAGAAAATCAGGAAACTGAGTGCATGTAGATTAACCTGTGAGTTAGGGAAATCCAGCAGGGGACCCAAGCAAGGTATGGCCTGTCACCTGAGTAGTAGCATGGAGGGGTCAGGAGCTGTAGCTGAGATGGCAGTGTCCAGGGAGAAAGGGAGAGAGGAACTGGGATCCTCATGCAGTGCTTCTCAGTGTGGACCATGGTCCTTGCTTCTCTCAGTGACACTGCCTCTCTGAACACAATCTGCTACTCTCTAAGAGGTCCCACATGAGTGGCGGGGTCAAGGGAGATTTATTGAAATTATTATTAAATCCATAGAGAGACAGGAAACAGGACAGTGAGGCTCTCAGGAACAGAGACAGAAAAGATGACCTGGATTCTAAGGAGAGGAAATCAGAGTCTACATGGCAGAAGTGGGGGTTCTCTTCTTGTACCCCCTGTTCAGGGACAAGATGTATCTCAGATCAGGACTGTAGCCATGCTCTCTGAATCTAAGGCAGAAGACAGGGAGGAGAGTGAGATGCAGGGTGTGTGGCCAGCATCTATACTTTGATGGAAACTGACCACCTTGGTTAGATGCTGGAGCTTGGAAGTCTGGTAGCAGCAGATAACAGACAATGTCACAGCAGGTGCCTGTGGGTGACCCTGAGAGGAAAAAGAGGAGTTTCCAGAGTTAGTCTCCCTGTACATTTAGGTGGCTAGAAACCAAACCCAGGTTATTGGGCTAGGCAGCAGTGCCTTTTCTCACAGTTATATTGCTGGACGACACTATTTTTGGTTCATTAATATGTAATTTTAAAATGCTTCGACTAAAATAAATTTAGAAAATGTTATGATCATGATTTACCCCGGGGGAATCTAAATTGCTATTTTCTTTTATTTATTTATTCATTCATTCATTTATTTATTTATTTATTTAAGATTTCTGTCTCTTCCCCGCCACCACCTCCTACTTCCCTCCCCCTCCCCCAACCAAGTCCCCCTCCCTCGTCAGCCCAAAGAGCAATCGTTTTCTGACAGAGCCTCTGACTGGCTTGGAGCTCAGCAATAAGGCAAGAGTAGCTAGACAGCCAGTGCCAGGGCTCTACCAGGCCCTTGCTTGTCCAGGGCTGGGATTACAAATTCCTGCCACCTCCCTGGCTTATATTGTGCGTTCTCGGGATCAAGCTCAGGTCCTCCTGCCAAGGGCAAGGCTTTTCTGACTCAATCATCTCACTAGTTCCCTTGCATGCCTCTCAAAACAATCTTTCCCACATAGCCCCTCACCTGCTCCTTGGCATGACAGCCGCTCACCTGGCTGGGGTTTCAGCTTTAGTCTGCTGGCCTGTAGGAGAAGAACCAGTGTCAGTGTGGCAGCCATGCTGATCCTCTGTCTGCCTCTCAGCTGTTCTCTGTGTTCAGACATTAGGGGCGCAGGGCAGCAAACAGCTCTGCAGCAGCCAATCAGGGACAGGACTGAGAGTCCCCAGGACCTGAAGCCAGTCCTCAGCTGTCCTTCTGCACAGCACAGCCAATCAGAGGACAGCTCTCCTGTCCACTGCCCCTTGTCCATGTCCTTCTCCCTTTGCTTCCTTCCCCTGCCTTGAACTCATGTCCCTTCCCTGCTCTCCCTGCTCTGCACTCACCACGCCTCCCTTTTGTCTCCCTGAATGTGGCTCTCTGGCTTCCCTGTGAGTGCAGGCTGCCTCTCCCTGCAGATTCAGTCTCAGGGTTCAAATCCCAGTCAGCCTTCTGCTGCCTCCCAGACTGCTGCTCTCCACCTCTCAGCTGCTCTTCTCATGGCAGGGCTGAGCCCTTCTGAAAACTACTATCTACATCTTCACACTTTATTACTGCAACTTCCGTTACACGCCACTATCTGCTATCTCTGCTCCTGCCCTGTGGTCTTCTACTCGGCACGCATTTAAGTCTGCTCTGAACCCAGTTCACACTTGACTCTTGTTTTGTGTGTACAAGGTCACAATGAGCCCAGGCTGTCCTTCAACTTTCTATGTAACTTCAGGCAACCTTGTTCTCTTGATTCAGCTCTCTGTACTTCCCAATGCTGGGATTTGGGTGTCCCCTACTCTGTTCCCAAGATTGTATCTTAGAATCCTTTTGACTTTTAGAAGACAAATCATTTATCTATACAAAAATTCACTTGAGATTTGAATAGAGATTGCATCAAATTTTTAGAATGTTTTGCATTGTAAGGACTTATTGTATAAATTTTTCCATTATTTAAATAATCTTACAAATTTCAGCATTTTCCTACCCTTTTAAAAGTATTTTAGGGCAGTGTGTGTGTGTGTGTGTGTGTGTGTGTGTGTGTGTACATTTGCATGTGTACACACGTGTTTGGATGACAGAGGACACTCTTGGGTACGATCCTGCAGGAACTGCCCACCTTCTCTTATGTGACAAGTCTGTCATTGGCTTCTCACTGATTGGGCAAGGCTGACAGCTTCAGGGATCCTGTTGTCTCTGCCTGCCTAGTGTCTACCAACATGACCAACCTTTTAAGTGGATCCTGGGGATGGAATTCATGTCCTTGTATTTCTGTGGCAACCAATTGACTAACTATACTATCTTTCCAGCTGCTCTGCAATTTCTCTCAGCCAATGCTTTTTTTATTTTTTAGGGTGCAAATCTTTCACCTCTCTTAGTGTAGGTTCTCCCAGACATGTTCTTTTCAACTGTGGTCTATTGAACACCGCTGTTTAATTTCTGTGTTGATACCATATCCCCAACTCAAGCAGTTCTCTGTCTTCACGGTCTCACTTCCTGTAAGATGCTGTCCCTGAAGGCTGCTCTACCTCAAACCTTGTTTAGCAGCCACACCTCTTTCCAAATGAGCAGTTAGCCCTAGGGCTCCCGCGTGCCTCTTGAATTCCTTAGGAGCAGGCTGTGTTCATCTGTAGTTGATACTCTAATTTCCAGCTAGGATTCTACGGAAGTCGGAGCAGACTCAGTCCTGGTTGAGTTCAGCCTCCTTTCTGTCCCTGTGTTCTCTGGACTCTGTCCTGTACAAGCTCCTCCTTCTCCATCCCACACAGCTGAGAACTCAGAGAGGAAGTTAGGTTGAGGGTCTGGTCCACTCACCTTTGCTTCCACCAGAGGAAGATCATCAGTACACAGATTGGGGTTATGAGCACAGCCGTGGCCACAATCACCCCGACTGTGGCTACTATGTTCACAAAAGAAGGATTCCTCTGGCCCTCTGAGTTCTCCAAGCTAGCCGTGGTGGCAACAGAGGAGACCATGGAGGGGCTCTTCGTGGTGGTTCTGACGACTGTGAAGAAATGGGGAGTGAGCAGATCCTCCCTGGATGAGGAGGGATGGGGTGAATGTCACATCTTGTCTCCTCTGTGGTATGTGGGATGGGGAGCAGATGTTAGAAGTAGGGGGTCATCACAACATAAGGAACTGTATTAAAGGGGGTCTGCATTAGGAAGGTAGAGAATCACTGCTCTAGACCCAGGAAAAAGGTCCTTTCTCTTTCTTCCCTGAGCCCTGGCAGCTGCGGTTAGACATTACATCAGGTCTACATGGCAGCTGTAGAGACTGCACAAGAACTGTGCTGTGGGCATCCTCTCACAGGTTGGTTTTAATCCAGTCAACAGCCACTGCTGGATGTGGTGGCACAGGCCTTTATCTCAGCACTTGGGAGACAAAGATAGGCAGAGTTCTGTGAGTCAGAACAACCAGAGCTACATGGAGATACCCTGTCTTATAAAAAGCAAAACACCAAAATGTATTTTTAAAAAAAAAAGAGTCACAGAGCAAGGTTGTGGTCAACAAGGAAGCACACAGAGTCCTCAGCTCCTGCAGGGCCATTTAAAGGGTGCAGGAGTAACAGCAGCATAGAGTTCCACTCCGTGTTTCCAGTGCATGGGTCTGCAGTTACTTCTGCTTCAGAGGAGAGGAAGGGATCAGGAGACAAAGCAGCCACTTCATGAAAATGGGGACATTAGTTCCCAAGACCCTTGAGGCTTGTGTGGAAGCAGTGAGGGCAGGAGGGCATGGAAGTGGAAGGGCAGTTGGCAAATGGAGAAGAGACAAGGGAATGGATAGGGATAGGTGAGGGGTGTGTTCTGGAGAACTAGGAGAAGAAATAGGGAACTATGGTGACAGGTGGCAGCTTACAGTTGAACCTTAAGACACCAAAAATATGCAATGGGCACCAACTGCTTGTTTTGGACTTAGGTTGGGGCTGTGTGGAGATGCTCCATACGGGGACTAACTGGAGCCCTGACACAGGACCAAGTGAGTCAGCTACATCCTGGAGAAATCAGTCCACTTCAAGGTCATGGGGAAGGGGGACATGGACAGGACCACAGTCTTAGTTTGGGTCATAAAGGAGGTGAACTAGAGGGTAGGACACAAGCTGAACCCAAGAAATGGTGGGTTCTCTCCGAGCAGAGAATTACAGACAAGCTCAGAGGAGATGGAAACAGCAAGGGCTTGTCACAATTACAGGAAAAGATTCTTTTGGCAGACGCATAGGCAAATCCAAGGAAAGGAATATGAAAGAGACTCAGAGTTGTGGAGCCTGAGGCGACATCTAAAAGACAAGGAAGCTAGAGAGGCATGGAAGCCACAGCCAGGATGGCTCACCTTGGGTGATGGTGAGGTGGGTCCCTTTATTCGAATGAAACTTCTGTAAGCCTTTACTTGTGTTCAGACGAACTTGGCAGAAGTACACTGTCTGGTCCTGCTCCTTCAAGTCCAGGATTCTGAGGACTCCGGATGTCTGAGGCTGTGTCCAGTTCAGGATGAGCCGGTCCTTAAAATGCTCGTGTATGAAACCCGAGGAAGAGTTGTAGATCAATTCCCCATAGGACTGCTTCCATCTCCAGAGAATACTCATTGGTGGAATTTGTTCCAATTCCCCAGGGAAGTAGAAGGAGAAGGGGATCTCGATGGAGCCGCCCTGGACACCATAGAGGCGTTCTGGTTGCTCCACCCTATAGCGATTTACTCTGTTGGATCCTGCTGAGTTCCCTGGGAAGGGTGGGGGGAAATCTGAAACCATGGAAGGGGATAGAAAGGACAAACGAGAGTTTCCTGAGTCTTCACCCACAGGCAGGTATAGGACATGGAGCACGACTGTCTCTATGTCCCACTGCCCCATATGGGACAGGACAGACAACAAAGGGTTGGACTGAACCCACTCTGAGGGATGAGTTCTCTCTTGGGGTACAGGGGTCAGGCTGGTTCCTCTAGCAGTCGCCTGTCCACATGACAGCCCACTCTTCCCAGCCCCATTGGTCTATCCTATGGTTAAGGCAATGGCTGCTAGAAAGGTCCCCACCACTCACCACCACTCACCAGCTTGCACGCACACCACTGACAGCAGCAGAAGCAGGACCCACGCTATGACCCGATTCCCTCCATGAAATGAGACCAGCAGAGCCATCGGGCAGGAGAGGAGGCCCTGTGGAGGAAGCCTGGGGTACTCAGGAGTCAGGAGAGAATCTGGGTAAAATGACCCACATTCCCCCAGGCCTTCTCATGTGGAGGACAGTGAGGGCAGGACCTCCCCATCTCCATCTCCTTGTGGCCAGCAACTTCCTTTATCATTCTGGCTTCTTCTTTCCCATGATGCAGAAGATCCGCTCTTGTGAGACAATGGCCATTCCCTTGAGCCCAACCCTGATTTTGGCAGGAAGATATGGAATTGACCTCACCAGGCCAGCTCTCCTCTCTTACACCTAGGCTTCCTGTCCTATCCAGTCTTGCCCATTTCCTATGTGGTCTGTAGCTGCTTTGTTTCCTCATCTTCATAAATTCTTCCACTCCCTCCCCTCCCCCAATCTATTTTTCATTGACCCCCCCCCCCACCTTCTGGTTGTTTGTGTCTATTTAGTAACCTCAGGTAGAGAAGTGGTCAGGTTCTGCTCACTTCAGACACAATGAGGAAGGAAGTGATGAGGACACACATTCAGATCCCAGACCTAGCAGTGTTCACCATCACCCTGTGTCTGCTCTTTGTCCGGTTGTTGCTTTTCAGGGACTCTTCACAGCGCCCCAGCAAACCCAAAACCCAGTGGACACTCTGGCCCTAGCCACTCACTGCTGCTGAGTCTGTGACTTCCCTGGGCTTCCTGGGTGATCCCCTTCTTCTCGACAGTGACTCCTTTTTTTATTATTGGTTTTTTTATTGACCTCTTCATTTTTCTCTGCTCCCCTCCCTGCCTCTCCCCTCCTCCATTTTCCCCCCAAGGTCCCCATGCTCCCAATTTACTCAGGAGATCTTGTCTTTTTCTACTTTCTTTGTAGATTAGATCTAAGTATGTCTCTCTTATAGTCCTCAATGTTGTCTAAATTCTCTGGAATTGTGGTTTGTAGGCTGGTTTTCTTTGCTTTATGTTTAAAAACCACCTACGAGTGAGTACATGTGATAATTATCTTTCTGTGTCTGTGTTATCTCACTCAAAATAATGTTTTCTAGCTCCATCCATTTTCCTGCAAAATTCAAAATGTTATTTTTTTCTGCTGTGTAGTACTCCATTGTTTAAATATACCACATTTGCCTTATCCTTTCTTCAGTAGAGGGGCATTTAGGTTGTTTCCAGGTTCTGGCTATGACAAACAATGCTGCTATGAACATAGCTGAGCACATGTCCTTGTGGCATGATTGAGCATGCTTTGGATATATACTCAAAAGTGGTATTACTGGGTCTTGTGGAAGGTTCTTTCCTAATTTTCTGAGAAATTGACACACTGACTGACATCCACATGGGTTCTACCAGCTTGTTTTCCCATTAGCAATGCAGAAGTGTTCCCTTTTCCCCACAACCTCTCCAGCATAAGTTGTCATCAGTGTTTTTGATCTTGGCCATTCTAAAGGTGTAAAATAGAATCTCAGAGTTGTTTAGATTTGCATTTCTCTGTCTTTCAGCCATTTTGGATTCCTCTGTTGAGAGTTTTCTGTTTAGGTCTGTACTCCATTTTTTTTATTGGATTATGTGTTCTTTTGGTGACCAATTTCTTGAGTTTTTTATATATTTTGGAGATCAGACCTGTCTGATGTGGTTGGTGAAGATCTTTTCCCATTCTGTAGGCTGTCGTTTTGTCTTGTTGACTGTGTCCTTTGCTTTACTGAAGCTTTTAAGTTTCAGGAGGTCCCATCCCATTTCATAATTGTTTCTCTCAGTGTCTGTGATGCTGGGGTTATATTTAGGTAGTGATCTCCTGTGCTAATGCGTTCAAGTGTACTTCTGATGGAGAAGGGTCATCTGTCTATGTGTTACTTTCATTGGTTAATAAAAAAAGTGCCTTGGGCCTTTGATAGGACAGAAAATTAGGTAGGCAGAGTAGATAGAACAGAATGCTGGGAAGAAGGGCAGTGAGGCAGATGCTATGGAGCCAGCTGCCAGGTCAGACATGTTGAATCTTTTCTGGTAAGCCACCACCTCGTGGTGCTACACAGGTTATTAGAAATGGGTTAATCAAGATGTCAGAATTAGCAAATAAGAGGCTGAAACTAATGGGCCAGGCAGTGTTTAAAAGAATATAGTTTCTGTGTTATTATTTCCGGGGCTAAGCTAGCTGTGCAGAGCTGGGCAGGATGAAAAGCAGGCCTGCCCGTGCAGCTCCTTCTACATATTTCCCACTTTCTCTTCTATAAGTTTCAGTATAGCTGGCTTTATGTTGAGGTCTATGATCCATTTGGACTTGAGTTTTGTGCATGGTGAGAGATATGGGACTATTTTCATTCTTTTACATGTTGATATCCAGTTATGCCAGCACCACTTGTTAAATATGTTTTCTTTTTTCCATTTGATATTTTTTTGCTTCTTTGTCAAAAATCAGGTGTGTGAAGATGTGTGGATTGATATCCGGGTCTTCTATTCAGTTCCATTAGTCCTCTTATCTGTTCTTATGCCAATACCAGGCTGTTTTCTGTACTGTAGCTCTGAAGGAGAGTTTGAAGTCAGGGATTGTGATGCCTCCAGAAGTTCTTTTATTGTACAGGATTGTTTTGGCTATGCTTGACATTGACTCCTAAGTGACTCTGGCTTCTGAAGAAGCCTTTCTGCCTCCCACCAACCTTAACACACACTCAGAAGAGGAAACCAAGAATCAGAGAAGCCCTGCCACATATCACATGACTGGCACACAGCAAGTTACTGGACTTCAGTCCCATTGAGTTTTTGCATTCCTCCAGTCCACACTGACTTCCGGCTGCCTGTTCGGTGCAACCTCTGAAGTCCCCTCAAGGCCACGGATCTGCTGCTGGGCCGTAGGGAGGCTGTTCCCACAAAGCATTTGAGAGACTTTGTCTAGCTGTGACTGTTCTAGAAGATTCTTTGGATGAAGTGGGCAAAGAGGGCTCAGTACAGCAATGTGTGATGACATAGTGCCTGGGACATCTCTGAGAGTGGACAGAGCTGACCTGTGATAGGAATAGAGGAGTAAGAGATGGGGGCAGAGGCTGTGGTGGCCACAGGAATGGTTCTGTGGAGGTCATCCCACCCTTCCCACGACAAGGTGTCATCATTTCCCTGAAGGGCAGGAAGACATGATTGTACCAGAGGGAGTGGCATCATTCTCTCTGAGTGACATGTGCATTCCCTTAGATTTCCTGGCATTGACTGCCTTCTCCAGGCTCCCCTCAGGTGACTATGCAGCCTCCTACTGTCATGTCTGCTTTCTCTGCCTTCCTCAGAGTCCCCATGGTCCTCTGATCCCTTGACCTGAGCTCTCATGGTCATGGACCTCATTCTCATGGCCTCGCTGCCAGCTGCACATGGACGCACTTCTGTGTCCATCCATACTGTCCTTGGATACAACAAGCACAGAACTTTTGGGAAGAGTTGGCCCCAAATTAAAGTTAGGAGAGGGGATGGGGCCTATTAAACCTGTCAAAAAGACCCCCCCACACTCTTTTACTGGATGCAGTCTCATGTAGTTCAGGCTGGGCCTTGAACTTCTTATGTAGCCAAGGATGACATTGAACTCCTACAGATCCTCCTCTCTGCCTCCCCCCAAGTTCTGGGTGACAGGTGTGACCCATCGTACCCCTTTGTCTCCTGCTGGAGATAGAACCCAGGGTTCTGTGCATGCCAAGCACGTAAGCACTCCACCAATGAACCTTCTCTTCAGTCTCAGTGAGGTCTGAGAGGGGGCCATCGTGGTCATGTGTACTCACCTCCAGGATTCATCGAGCCCTGCTCTATAGTCTAGAGTCTGTCACCAAGGAGAGGCTGGGCCTGATAAGCTGCCATATGTCAGCTGCTGGTCAATAGCATTTTTATACAAAAGGCTCTGGTTGGTCCTTCAGGATCCCAACCACCACTTGTGCTCAGCCTCACTGCTGCCACCTGCTGGCCTCTGAGTCCCAAGTCATGGGCTCTGTTGTTTCAAGTCCTGGACTCAGTTGGATCCCCATAGGGACCCTGCTTTGGGATGATTTCTGTCCAGGATGCTATAATCAAACTCCTGCAATGACAACCATGTTTGTTCCAAGAACAGTGACTAGTCCCTGCAGCCATAATACTTTCACAGGGCAGGGACACTTTCTGTGGAAGAGCAACCTGAGGCTGTGGTGTGCACACATGGGGCTTTTACACACATGTGACCATGGACCTGTCAGGTTACAGTTTCAGAACACGGCTGCTGCTCAGGCTGTAGCGCATGTGTGTTCTTCTCACATAGAATAAGTCAGCAATGTTATTTAAAATATTAAAACCCAAGATGGGTTAGACATAGAGGCCTTTAAGTCTAGCATTTGGGAGGCAGAGGGAGAGACAAGTAGATCTCTGCATTTGAGGCTCCCTGGTATATACAGCCAGTCCCAGGTAAGCAAAAACTATATAGTGAGACCCTGTCTCAAAAAAACAAAAATAAGCAAACAAACAAAAACCAAATCAAACAACAAAAACCTACAAAAAACAAAATACCCAAGGTATATGATGCCCTGAGGTTGTCCTCTGGCCTAGGCACAGTTATATGCACACATCTACCGCTGCACACAAACACACACAGTCATCCAAGGCAATTTCTCATGGGATGTGCCACCATGTGTTTAACCAGTCCTCCTCCTGAGTAAACATGGCCTCCCCATTTGTCTCCCCTTTCTCTGTCACACTCCTAGCACTCCATGAATTCCTCTTTGAGTGACAGCATACAGAATCCAGTTGAACCCCAAAATAACCCACCCAGACCAGGTGCTGAAGACAGTTAGGGAGATGCTAGAGGGGATGGTAGAAGGATGGTGGCTGGTGGTATAACAGGACACTCAGGCTGCACTAGGACATTACAGTAGCACAGATGCCCCGCCCCCATCTGACCTCTTCTTTCTCCCCTAGGATGACATCATCATCTTCATCTCCCACATGTGCCCCAAACCTCAGCATGAGCACCTCCCTGCACCACAGTAGAGGGAAGCAAAAAGAAGAGACTCTGTAGTAT